CACAAGAGTTAACACCGAATACACCAACCTGGAAAACAGAAGTGAAGAGCCACGATAACGCAAACTACAACGCTAACGCCATTCATAACATCAGTAATGAAGATGGCATTAATACGAACAGTACAAACACAAATCAAACTTACCGAGTCGAATGAGCAAGTTCTCGTGATAAACTGACGTCGTGAAGACCCCCGTGGCAGCCTCTACCAGATAACGGGTCCAGGTGTTGCCAGAGCGAGGGAAGGAGAGAAGCCACGTCTGGCTGATGCCCCGGCCAGGCCTCACCATCAGCCTGGGCATATGAGGGAGTCTAGTGTAGTAACCGGGCATGAGTTTGTGGCCAAAGTCGAAGGCGTGGGAAGTTTAGGGGAGTGGGGATACGAATGTGTTTCGAAAGGAATGCATAAAAAAGGATACGTAAGGCGTGAACACCTACAAAGGCACATATACTCTCTTTAATGCATACGTAGATAACGATGAATTGATTGGTATTTTCATTATGAATGTAAATAATATGAAATTCTAAAATAATATTTAAACATCTGTTCAAATCTCATATATATCTATATTTTTTCTTTATGTTCAGCCACCCGCTACGCAAGCACATAATCACCACAATTCACTGTTATTTTCCCTCTAACCGGGCGGGAAGGGTTCAGCCGTGCGAAGTTTAATCGCTCGCAGCCGTCCCCATACGTTCCCGCAGTTTAAAAAATATGACTCAGCTTCTTTGCTTCCGTGGGTCCATCAAACAAAGTCTTGTTCAGAAACGCTGACGAGTGTTCAGGGGCGGATTCTACAAAATGCTGGCCTATCAAGGAAAGACAAATTTCACTTGCATAAGTCTTGTATATTAAATGCTTATAGTTTTACCTGTTACACCGGGTGTCGTTGGGCCAGAGTTGACGTGAAGACGCTTCCATGTTGATATTCAGGTTCCGATATTGAACAGTTCCGGCTTCCGCTTCTGTAAATGATGTTTGAGGTTTCTGCATTTAAACGGAAGTAACCACACATGTAGGCCTACAACATACAAAGTTGATATGTACTCTACATGCCATGCAATGGTTCCCAACTTTTTCATCATTAAGAAACTCCATATAATTTTCTCACGGAAACCCGTCTATTCAACAAGACAGTTTTACTAACTAAACAAAACTAGCTTTACCAGTTCCAGCTTTCAGTTTAAAAGAGAACTGGGTACTAAATCGCATAAGTAACAGTATTTAAGCTAATACGCTATGAAAGTTTTGAAATATTCATCTTATCATTAATGAAACGCTGGACCCTCTTGGAATATCTAACTTAACTAACCTTTATCTTTCGTTATTAAACATAAATCAGTGGTTTTCTAATCCTAGCCCCCCCCCCCCTTCAATATAACGTTTCCCTGTGCCCCCTCCTTTAAATACTGTATTTTACGAGCAAGTGTCAGCACATGTTGGTAAATAACGCAGAGAAAATATACACTTGCCTTCAGTAGTATGATTTTTTCTGCAGTTTCTCAAATATGAATACCCTCTTTATCAAGCCTTCGCCCCCCCCCCTTTCAAGCAGCCCTTGGTTTCCCCCTAGATGACAACGCCCCCACAGTACAGAAATTAGTCTCCCTGACCGTTAACTGAAAAAACAACTTTACGACGATACTCCAGCTTACCGAAAGATCCTGAGTCAGCGTTCTCTCCATCAATAGACTGGGTGTGAGTACGCTGGAAGCCCACACCATTATCTACGGTAATACCCCCTGTGGCACTAACGGTCGGCCTCCTAGATGTTATGTGGCAACGGTAGGTGAACAGCGCTGTTCCTACTGCCACGCATATCAGGCTTACCCTGAATCCCACTCCGGAACCGCAGTGACCTGAAGAAAAAAAATATAAACGCTAAATTATGCATATATCGCACATACCTCGCTCCATATCATGTATCTGATTGATCGTGAAGCCGGACTGCTGTGGTACATCCTCCCAACTATCCCTCTCCGCTTTTCGTGCCACTTCAGCATTCCATAATCTAATACATATTTGATTTTGTCCACATCTTTTTTTTAACCGTGTCATGCCCATTTGCAAGCCATTTAGATCATAGAACACTTCGTTTCCTTAAATCTGCTAGATAATGAACGGACGACAAGAGGTTTGCATTTTTTATCGTCGTTTTCGACACTTTTTATATGGTATCTTTCATATTGCACTTGCATATAATTGTTTTTGTATGTGCATGTGTGTACTCAGTTACCTTGTTACCCCTACATATACAATCTATTTCTTTTTATTCACGCGTGTCAGTGTTAGATGTATGCATGTGTGCGTGTATAATTAATGTATACATTCTATTTGGACAAGTTTACTCACTAAGCAACATTGCTTATGCATAGATGACGAAACCAGAAACGACAAGCACGCATGGACAGAGACTTCCTTTTCTCACACAAGCAAGGCGTAAACTGCCTCGGCGGCCGGGTTTCGGCGCCGTGAAAATCAACGAGAAACCAATTGGC